TGACCCAAAATGGAAGAAGCGGGTAAAAGATAATGGATGGATATTTTAGGGCAAAATAAAAGACTGGATTTATGTAAAGAAGAAAAATTATTTTATTTTTTTTACCAATTTTGTAAAAATTCAAACACAAGTATGCAGAATGATGTGCGGTTTCCTTTTCATTGCTATAACAATTCATAAAGTATCCTATTATGAAGTAATAAAGCATAACGTTAAAAATTAGGCCAGTTTGTTGGATATGTGATTGAATTTAAAAATGAAAATAAATACTTCCATTTTCTTTGTTTATTTTTTCTTTAATAGTGTGAATGTTTATGAAGCATTCACACTATTGTCATCTACTTCCTTCCGTATGTTTTTTGGTGTGATTCTCGTTCCATAGTTATTGTGCTATTTCAACAAATCATAAATCAAAACGTTCAGCTCGTTCAGGATCAGGGTGCTGTAACTTTTGGGGTTAGTGCAACTTTAGCTTTTTGAAATATTTAGCCCTTTTCTGCTATTATTTGCCTCATAGAAAATGAACTGTGCTCATTTTACATCCTCTTACATCCTGTTTACAACCTTTTACTGCTCCTTTCACAGTTTGTTCTGGTTCAGCTTCTTTCAGCTTCCTTGTGCAAATTTAAACTTTTTTCAGCTACTTTTTCAGCTAATTTTAGCTGTTTTTTCAGCTGTTTTGTGCTCCTTTCAGATTATTTCTGCTAACTTTACATTTTTGTGCTTCTTCTAATTTATTTCTGCTAATTTCAGCTTGTTATGCTCCTTTCAGCTTATTTATGCAAGTTCCAACCTTTTTTGCTATTTCAGCTACTATTTAGCTTTTTTAATTCTTATTTTAGCTTTTTCAACTAATTCCACATTTTTTGCTTTCATTTCAATTTTTTTCAACCTATTTCAGCAACAATGTTCTCTCCCCCCTTCCTTCTAGTAATTTAAACTTCTTTCTGAATGTTTTAGCTACTTTTCAGCAGTTTTTTTTTCTTTGTAAATTTCTGCTTTTTTCAGATCGTTTTCCCATT